TGCTGATAACAATACATTTAAAACAAGAAGCTTATATCATCTGCACTTTATCTCTTAGTTTTTCATTTTACATTACATACAAAAGATCCAAGACCCGACAATTAAAATGTATTTCTCCATCAGGGGTGGCAATAATAATGTTTCAACGCCTCTGTCCTTATCCGATTTTTTGGTAGCTTTGACAATGCACCTGTTATGCTCTTTTGAATGAGCTCTGGAGGTTTTTTTTTTAATTGTATTATATTACATGTCCATTAAAAACCACCTGTGCAAGAGTTCTCGGAGACAAATCTGAGCAGGTGTTTCAGGGGGAGGGGGTCTGGCCTTGAGCAGTGCTCTGAAGCCTATTGGTGAAGATCGGGCAGCAGGTCCTTCCAGGGAGGGAACAGCTTCGGCTGTCTCAGGGTTTTGTGTTGAAGCCGCCAGCAGGCTCGGCCCTGGGAGGGGATTCACTTTGGCTCTGCTGGGCTGTGAGAAAAGGTGCACAGACGGATGTCTCCACCTCCGGCGACCTTTCTGTTCCACGAGTACAATGAGCCCGCAGCTCGTGAAACCAGAAATGGGAGCAGCCTGCTTTGCAAGGGTGGGCGGCGCACTGGTGCAGGGGTCAACATTGCCGTCTCACGGCGCTGGGGCCCCGGGTTCCACTCCTGGGGTGCTGTCTGTGTGGAGTTTGCGTGTTCTCCCCGTGTTCACGTGGGTTTCCTCCCAGTCCAGAAACAATACTGGAAGGTTAATTGGCTTGTGGGAAAAAAGGGCCTTTCTGTGGGTGTGTGCGCTTGTGTCTGCTCTGCCGACGCACTGACGTCCCGGCCCGGGGTGTATCCCGCCCTGTGCCATTTGCGTGCCGGGACGGGCTCTGGCTCCCCGCCTTCCTGTATCCCATCATGCAGTGAGAAGATGGATGGAGCTGTTCTCATCCCCACATCAGCTCCGAGTCGGTCTTTGTGAAAGCCGTTTCTCGCTGTTCATTACGGACGAATGACGGGACAATGAATCCAACCAGATTTCACTGGAGGAATGTGAAATTGCTGCAGAAAGTACAGATAGAGCCGTGTTCCCCACCCTCTTGAACAGTGAACTGAATGTGGCGAAGTCCTGTGTGCCGTCCCCTGGCCTCTGGGTCACCACGAGAGTGGCTCCCACTGCACGGCCCTTTCCAGAAACAGGTGGACCGCATGTAGCCGGCTCGCCTTCCCCCCGCAGCAGTTCGGCAGGGCTCTTACCCAGACAGCAGCCTGATAAATCTGTCTGTTCACCGGGAGTAAAAATTGGGTTTTATCACCCAGGCCTGTGCCTTCGCCCGGATCCCTTCAGCCCTACTCAGGGACATACAGGCACGTTTAGCATGGAAACATGTTTTAAAAAATAAAATAAGAGGACATTTGGACAGCAGTTGTATTCTTTTTTTTTTTTTTGCTCGGTCTTAATCGCCATACCTCTGAAATGGAGCCCTTGTCAGTGGTTAATGTTGATGTAGCAGTGCAAACCAGCAATTACAGCAGGCTTAAGTCCTTGCGTTTGGGGATCTGAAGTAGGAATCAGGAAAAGAATATACGGCTTTTGAACACTTCTTTCCAACTTGTCCTATAACTGAAATGGATTACTGTTGGTCATTTTTGCACAGGGTGTTTTTAAAGCTAATTTGTTGTAGGGATAGAAGACATTCTGCTGAAGGATAGTCCAAGGCTAACTGCACAACTGCCTCCTGACGTGCACGGGCGGCTCAGGGATTGCCTGAGAGCTTCCCACTTCTCTCCCATCACAAGAATAATCCACCCAATTGTTGGAGATTTATTTCCCACACAAAAGGGCTCAATTATCTTAAATACAAGATGAAAACCTCTCTTTACCACCGTCTTTGAACACGGATTCCAGGCTTTACTGAAACACGGCGTAAGATATTTTAAGAACGCAGAAATGTGCGGTGAAGAAATTAACTCTCATGTTATAAGTCAAACACATGCTCGTTCGCCAGTTTATTTGTTGATAATTCATATATAACGTATAACCGACGTGGTGAGCTTGGGTAAACGTGTTCTTGTTTTCATCCGATTTCAAATGCACTCTTTTTTTTTTAGCTAATGACTTCTTCGGAACATCGTGGGTTTTTTTTTTCCATCTTGAAAATGGCGCAAATGAAAAGCCGTTTACTAAAATTTGAAACCGCCAGGAAGAAAAAGAGAAAAAAAAGGCAGATAAAATAACCTGATGAGAAATAAAGGAAAGTGGACTCGGCCGAGCCCGAACAGTTTCTTCCGTCCCCGTATGCGCGCTGCTCTGCAGATCTGCGCCATGTGCGTTAAGGTCACTTCAGGCTCTGCAGTACAGCGGTCCTTTTACAAGGTCTCAGTCAGTGTGGTAGAAATCAATAAAAAAATTAATGACTTTTATGACTCCTTTACAACACTTTATTATTTCTCTCCAATTGTGTAGATTGCATGCAAACGATAAAAGCAGAGCCAGTTTGTCCTGACATATTTTTACAGCAACGTCCTCTGGGAGATGCAGGAATATCTGTTTGTTTGGTCGTTTTTTTTTTGGTGTGTATGTCCTCGGTATCTTTGTTTTGTTGTTGTTGTCAATGAAATTCCCCACTAAAAGGCTTTGCCAGAGTGGAAAATGTAGGACGGAACAATAGGCTTCCATTTACAGCGGAACAAAACTGAACAGGGAGCTTTTGTGTCGCGATTTTCTGCTTTAAAAAATCCGATTTCTCACAGTGGAGGGATGGGAAAAGGCTCTTGCACCATAACGCATTTTAAAACCGGCGCGACCATAAATGACAAGCCCTCAGCTTTCATGCTCATTAAAAACCGGTCATGTTTTCCGATGCGTCGGGAGGGAGACCTGTAATTAAGCTCCGCGTTTATTGTGCGTTTCTTTTTCTTGTCTCTCTCTCTCTGGGCTTCTCCCGGGCCGCCCCTGTCCCTCCAAGGTCAAGATCTGGTTCCAGAACAAGCGCTCCAAGTACAAGAAGATCATGAAGCACGGCTCCAACGGCCCGGAGGGCGAGCACCTCCACCCCGCCGCCTCCATGTCGCCCTGCTCGCCCGGCCTGCCGCCTCTGTGGGACGTGTCCATGGGCAGCAAGGGCGCGCCGGTCCACGCCAGCAGCTACATGAACAGTTTCGGACACTGGTACCCGGCGCACCACCAGGACTCCATGCCCAGACCTCAGATGATGTGACGCATCACCTCCACGAACAATAATCGCTTTTTTTCCCCCCCAAATATATTATATATAAAAAGCAAATCCAGCAATTTCAGACTCAATAAAACACAGTTAAGAGTTTTTTTTCTTATTTTCTCAAGAACTGTTTTTTTAAATATATTTTAATCTTTTTTGTTTTCCTTTTCTAGTTTGAAGAATGATGTGCCTTTTAAAAAAAAAAGAGACTTCGTTTTTTTGGGGGGAATGCTTCAAATCGTTTGGTTTTTTTATTTTATTGTATGTTTTGAGTTGTTTCCCGCCCCCCCCCCAAAAAAGCAATATTTGAACCTGCACCCTCGCCAGCGGAGAACAGCCCTGCGCCCTTGTCACCTCCTCCCTGCGCTGCCCTGCGCTCAGAATGACACGTTGTTGAGGCTCTGGTTCAAATAAATCCTCCCTGATCTAACCTCTCGCAGTCGTCCGTCAATCGGGCTGTGTAGATTGAGGCGGAAACGCGGAGCTGTCCGGCGATTCCTGCTCTTCACTCCCGAAACCTCGGCGGGCTACGCGTCCCCAGCAGGCCGATACAAAAAGTCGCGTTATTTGTGATAAAAAAACAGTGTGCGATCGAACTCGATTCGTGTCTTCCCACTTTAGTTTTAAGACGCTGGAAGCAGCAGGGCGAGCAGACTTTGCTGCAGAGGGGATAAATACAGGCTGCGAGGTGAAACGCTCTGGAATACTCCTCACTCTTGCTTTGGGACGGACGAAAATAAGGCATAAGAGTAACTTCGATTTGTTTTTCCATTGAAATGCTTTAGCACAAAACTCAGCAGTGGGTCTAGAAAAGGGCTTGTGTGCCCCCCTGCAGTATCGTAGTGTGAAACGGAGAAGCCATCTTATGGAAATAAAGATGTTTTGTTTAGAACATTTTTACTCTATAATCAAACAGAGCACCAGGATATTCTTAACAACGACAGTAATACCACATATTACTGCTACTATTAATTCACAACAAAAAATCGGCATTAGTTCAGGAAACCACCAACAGAAATAACAGCAGATAATAATTATTAGTTGTGTTCTTACTGTAAGTACTGTTTGTAATAGAAACATTGCAGCAATAACGAAAATGCAGAGAACGGTTGGTTACATTGAGCGCGATGACTGGAATTATAAAACGGAGAGAAAAAATAATGTCATGCAGACTGGACGAAATTATTAAGGAAACGAGATTTTGTGAAATCCTGCAAGTTTGCACAGTTATTGCCACAAAGATTCTTCTCCAGGCTCTAAAGCTACCAGCATGGTCAGCAGTGGCCCACAATTCACCATGGTCAGGATCAGCTGATTGAACAGGTCCAGGCTGTTTGAAAAACAAAAATCCTCGGTAAATGATAATGAATTATTTTCTTCAGGTGAAACAGTTAAATTACAAAACGTCATGTGTTGAGACAGAAGCAAAGCGAGGTAAAAGAAAACACATTTACTTGTAAAAATAAGTAAAACGTGTCTAAAATTAATCTTAATGCGATGCATTATTTTAGTTGTGTGTATACAACCATCTGCACCGTAAAACAAATTGCACGGTCTAACGCAGACTGGAGTTAAAACGCTAGCAACAGTGCTTAATCGAATCCAACGAGCCAAATCAAGGATACTTTTTTAAAACGTTCTGCTAAAGCGGCTTCGTAATATAGAAAATACTCTGTTGGTTAATTTTTCAACAATTGGAATGTTACAATTTTAAGTCGTTTTTGATCACATTAAGTTTTCATTTATTACATTCTAGGGACATAAAGTTTAATAAAAGTCTGTCTCCAGCGGGAGGTCCCCCTTTCTAAAGAAAGAGAATGTTTTTTTTTTAAATGCACAGTAAAGTTCAAGTTCTGCTCGTCCCGAAACACAGCTGTATGTTGAGGTCGTTTTAAATGACGGCCGTTGCCATGGCAGCCCGAAACTTTGTTACCCCTCTGCGGCGCGTGACACGTGGGGTTATACAAACAGTCTCGCTGCGTGTAATGAGACGACTTTAAAACGAGCTCTTAAATTACAGCTGGAAAACAAAATGACGGGTTTTCAGCGAAATCAAACCCGTAGATGATTTATAGTCAAGCGACGGGATGAGATGAAAAGAGCAGGAAAGTTTTCATTTACATTTGAGCACGCTGTTATAGAGATGTCAGCCTGCAGAGGACACGGGTGTTTCAAACGAGTTTTAAAAGTCTTAATTCCGTGATTTATCAAACCTAAACGCGCGTACAAGGCACCCCCGTTTATTAACGCGTGAGGTTTTAACGTAGAAAGGGTCCTCTTAAAAGGGCTGATTAGTTAAGCAGGTGCGCATGTGAGTTATTTACTCCGGGTGGGGGAATGTGGTCTGAAACACGGACACGCGTGAGCCTGACCTGGCCGTGGATTGTTTCACAGAGTAGTGGGAATCAAACAGCCCGATTTCTCTGCTTAACGAGTGCTCTGAAATAGAAATTGTTAGTACTAACAGTTCAAAATTAATGTGTGCCATTTCTTACCTGGTATCAGAATGATAACATTATAGCAGCGTATTTAAAGAGAGGGTTTTACAATTCCGTTAACGAGAGATTTATGCTATTGATAACGCTAATAATACTATTTTTCGAGCGCATATAATACTGATATCATTGCACTTGTGTAAGTCGACGGGGGAAATTTGTAATATTTGAGCCTGGTAATCTTCAAAATGATTAGCTGTATATTAAATTAGCAGAACATTAAATTATTTTTTTTTGCAAAAGTTTTTTTAAGTACTTGAAAGGTAGCTACAAGACGTGAAATGTGCGTTACACTCGAGAGATACAGGTTTCGTTAAAGAAAAAGGAAAGTTTCGTTTCTCACTGAAACTGGCGCATTTCGGCTTTAAGAGATGTGTTAACCTTCTCTTTAAGTGCGACTCATAAATGAACAGATTTTAAAACATTAATCATTCGTGAATCCAAATAATGATAGGAGTATATTTCTGTTTGGAAAAGTGTAACGTAATACCGATTTAAACTGGATCATATTCAAACTCAAATTTTCGTAAAATATACCATATTTTTGTAGAAAGTTTATTCGTGATTAATTAGGAATAATATGCAGTAGCAGGAGAAAAACGTCTTCAAATTGATTTTTTTCTAGAACTGGAAATGAGAATTTAAACACACTGAATGTAAAAAAAAAAGGGTCACGTGTTGCCTGATTTTATAAACACCTCATTTGACTTATTTATCCATGTGAGCTCAGCGAGAGGCTTTCATTGATAACAGGCTGTTGTCGCCTCAGGGATACAATGCTTAAGCAGTCAGTTTGACTGAGGTTGTGCGCAGCATTCCTATGTTATCCACAAAGACAAATACGTCCCTTTTATTTCTATTCTCATTTCTTGAGTTTGTCCATCCCTTCATTATTTATTAAAAAAAAAGCCTGTTCTTACCGTCGCAGACCTGCCGCTGTAGGCCTAACGCCATTTTGTTTTGAAAGGCGGGCGCCGTTGTTAGCGCGCAAAGGGAAACGGGCTGAGATTGACTCGGAAAGGAAGGCAGACTGGTGGCCGTACCCGTTGCCCCGAACTGGAAGAAGCGGTCAGAGAGCGGCTGGCCGTGGGGAGAGGGGCTGGTGGACGGGCCTGCCGTGGGAGATCACACCCCGGGGCCCCCCGCTCTCCACTTCTAGCCTGCTGACAGATCCCACAGTCTGAGCTCGGAGGCTCATCTGGCGCGGAAACACTACACGGTTGTTGCCGTTCCGTGTTTGTTTAAGGTTTTTATGGTTGTCTTCTCATTAGAACATGGTTTTGTCATATTACAACGGCGTGGTTTTCATGAACATGATATTTCTCGTATGTGACCAGCGGTTATTATTAAGTGGATCTCGGGGTTATGTACAGTCTGCCTCAGCGATCCCGTCCCCTCGAAGTTTTAAGTCTATACATTTAGCTGATTTTTATTAACATCACATTCCTCCTTCTCTCGTTAAAACAAACGGGCATTACACTTAATTATACCCCATTCATTAAACTTTAATAAGACGCAAAGGTTTCAGCTTTTCTCAGCGAGGGTATCGCAGCGCAGACCGCTTCGCTAACCGAAAAGAAATCGCTTTCCACACGGCTGTTACCGGCGAAACCGTCCGAAATGAGGCCGCCTCAAGGCTGTAACTGGTGTGTCACTGGATCCTGTTTTATCGTCACGGTCTAACCGTGCAGACCTCCTCTCGCCAGCACTGTTAACTGGTCGCCGAAGGGGAACGGAGCCATCAGCCCAGTTACCCGAAATGACCGAGGTTTCTCCTCCAACTGCTTTAGTACTGCAAGGTGTACAGAGCACAGGCCAAGCCGATGTAGAGATAACAATTAATAATAACAATAATAATAGTGTCGTTATTATTATTATTATTATTATTATAGTTTGTTACAGTCGTTGAAACTCCTTTCTTTTGCAAGTTGTGATGTTTACCTTTTGCCGCTTCAATCCGATGACAATAATCTAATATATATATTTAAATATACCACCATAATCTAATAAAGTCATATTTTAACAATAAAGTCAATTACACAGCAACTCTACTCTGTAAAACTGCGAGTGGGGAGATAATGTCGCCGTGGGGGCCGCCAGCGCGTCCGTCTTTCTGCAGGTTACAGTCGCAGAGCCCAGCGGCACCGAGCCGCACCGCAGGCCAAGGGGAACCGGCCGGTGACCCGCCCGGATGAGCACGGAGCGGATTCGCGTTGCAGCGCCGGTCCGGTGTCTGCGCTCCCGCCCGCTGGTCCGTTCCAGCGGTCAGCCAACACGAGCGGTCCTTCCTCACGGGAGGACGGGCTCTCGTCGGGGGGGCTCGGGGGGGTCCGACGGTTTCTGCGGCTCCCCCCGACTGTCACGTGCGCCAGGGAAAGGGATGGGACGCAAAACAACAAAAAAAAAATGGGGGGTCAAATCTTTCACCCCCTAAACATCTGGACAAGCCAAAAAAAGGGGCGCTATTTTAAGAATCTTTGAATGCTCTTCTAAAATGGGCTCGCCAATTATAGCAATTTGGGACACAGCTTGTTAAATAAAGCTTTCATTCCAACAGGATAATTACAAGCAATTTACAGCCTACAAAATGTCTTTCTTAATATGTTAAAAAATCCTATAAGGTCCTATTGGAATAAGGACGCATAGAATACGAGGAGGATCCGCGGCCTGATGGGGGCTTTGCCATTATCTGAAATTACTTGCAGGTGGAAATCACAAAGAACAGGGAAAACAAAAAAAATCCGTAAGAAAAAAAGACGCTGAAAACACCGAAGTTATTAGACATGTATACACGAGGGAAGGAGCCTGTAGCAATCACAGTATTCTTTTTTTTTTAGTGTTCATATTTATTCTTGGTTAGTTTGAGAAGCGCTAGGTTGGGGCTTTAGGTATCATGTTAAGTTTAGACGACACCGAGCTGTAATAATGGGTTTGATGCCAATTAAACTGTATATATATATTTAACGGCAGTGAATATACCGCCTGCTCGTTAACAATCCGAATTTCCGTAATTGTCAACTCATACAGACAATTCACTTACCCTTAACTGTAATCGATCTCTCTGGGAGAAATCGCGCGGTTTAGAAAGAGAGTTTCGGAACCGGTTAAGTCCCTCTTAGCAGTTCGCTGGGATTCGGGGAGGCCTGTGGGGATATTCCAGTTCCTGCATTTGGAGCCCGGCTGCGCGATGGGATCGGGCTGGGATTTGATAGAAAAACACCTTCAAGTGTAATTTATGTCCTACCATTAGTGTGTTTTTCCTATTTGGTCAGCTTTCATCCCTCCTTTCAAAACATACACAACGTGATTAAGTACAGTATAACCTTCGCCAACGTTTAAACGTATCCCCCCCCTGCTGTCTTCTGAAATACGCAGGAAGAAAGCTACACTGCTGTCATTAAAAAATGATAAATGGCTCCTCTATTCAATCTCGAAACTTGCAGCCTGATTAATAGCTGCATATAGCGATGGGCACATTGCAAGGCTTAAACTGTTTAAACATCGCTAACAAGCTGTTTACACTGCATTTAAACACGTCCGTTCCGAGATAACTGTGCTAAATTCAATGCTGTAGAAATTGCGTTACGCCGAACAATGATTAATGACCGCACATGTTTTCATGGAAAACAGGCTTACTGGTAACTACAAATCCTGCACTTCAACACATTGAACTGGGTACCGTTATATTTCTCAATGTAGACTGATGATATACAGTTTAATGTCCAGCCGGAGTGACCGGCCAGGCCCTGTGGAGTTCCGACTTGTATGCTTATGGTCCGAGGATCCTTACAAATTATTGAAACATGGTTTCGACGTGGTTTATCTTCTTAGACGTCTTAGATTTTCCATTATAGCGTTAATTTCTGCTTTACGAATTGTCGACAGCAAGGTTGCGGTCACCGATAGCCTACCGTACTGTTAACAATGTGCTACAATATCAGCAAATTTACAATGAACAAAATGGAATCGGTGAATTATTTCTGACTAGGTTGTTTTTTTTTGTTGTGGAATCTGTTCTTGATATTTTAGCAAGTTTCTAAAGGTGTTTTGAAGATCACGGTGACTGAAAACAACACTGAGGGACTCTTTTTTTCTACAACCCATTTAACGGATCAAAACATTCAAACCAATTTTATTTTAGACACGTTCATGTGTTTCGGAGTCATGACAGATCCTGTAAATGTTCCACTCGCTTTTATTGTTGTTAATACAGTACATTTTTAATTTGGGGGGACGGTAATTTTCATCCAGGTAAAATTGCTGATGTTATTTTTAATGTTTGTTAAATGACGGTATATAACGTGCTAGAGTAGGCTCTTTCGTCAGTGGAATGCGTTAAACAATTTTATATTGATGTTAACATTTGCATTCCTCTGCAGAATTTTTTTCTGAACTTGTGTAGAATTCCCTGCGCTTTTAACAGGGTTTGGATTGTTGTGCGATACTGCTAGTTTACATTTTCAAACATTTTATAGACATAATTTATTCGGCACAGGTTTAAAATGTACACAATAAACCATTCTTAGTTTTTAACGAAGGAATGAATAGCTCTATGTAAACCATTCTTTGTCTGCTCCATCTCATCGATAATTGTCAAACATTATCGAGGAAGACCATATTTAGACCGACGTATTTTTGTCATTTTGTAGAAAACCATTAACCTTTGTCGTATTGAACAACTCACTTTGCTGATATTGCAATGCAACGCGATGTACAAATAAAAAAATATGGATTTTTTCCCCCTAGTTATCTCCTCAGCTACACCTGCATGTTCTTAGCGGCCTTGTGAAATGACATAGGTCAAATACAAATAACAACAATATCTGTGTAAAACAAATTAAATCTTAATCCTGGGCAAGCCAGGGCGAATCTGCTCCGGGCTATCTCAAGATATCTCAATGAACGGTTTGCTCAGGTGCGAGCTTTCTGGTTAAATACCTTTTCAGCTATTATTATTATTATTATTATTTATAGATTTAGAAAAAATGACTTTTTCTGCACCGTGAACGCGTGCTATAATCAGATACTTCCAATTTCGGTAACGGCAACGACTTGCTGATAAATTAATATTTTTCCATATTTAACAGGCACAGAAACAGAGAACGCGAACACTTCAGTTTGGATTTTTGTTGTTAGACTTCAGAATATTATTTTTTTTATCAGGCCCATGTGATGTACCGTTTTGGGTTTTTTTTACACTGTTTTATATCTGACGCTAAACATAGTTCTGTGTTTAGAGCTCGATCGCCGTAATTCACCTTTTAATAACAATGAAAGGGTAACTGCCTTTGTAGTTTTTAATTTGGGCGGGTATGACCAAGGCTCGAAGCGTGTAGTTAAGTTGACAAACAGTTCAATTGGAATCCGGTGAAACAGCTGACCTGAATCTGACCCCTGGCAGTGTCTTCAGAAAATGCTCGGCACTCTCCTCTCCCGATTCGACATCATGGACGGCCAACTTGGCGGCCGTTTCAGGCGGAGAGGCCGAGGGTGTTGTTGGTAAAAATTGTAAGGCCGGTCCGGTGTTGGTTGGCTGACGGAAATGTGGGGATTTCCCTCGAATTCGCGGTGTCTGCTGCCGCCGGACAGTCCTCTTGGCGCCCGTCGAGGTAAGAAATCCCGTTTACTTTCACGGGTGGCGGGATTGACGCCGAATTGCACCGCATTTGACTTGCTGCGTTTTCAAAATGGAATATCTGTGGGGGGTCACGTTTTAAAATATACCATCATATTATTCTACTTGTGTTGTAATGTTTTAAGCGTAAGGGAATGAACGTGGTCTATTCTCCGCCACCAGACGAAGGCCTTCGCCGACGCCCCGAGGCCTGGTCCGGCTGAGCGCACCTCTCTGTGCGCGGCATCGCCCGGGGCGGGCCGTACCAGGCGGGTTGTGTGTCGCAGGGCTGTTTCACACGATGTGTTTTAGGTTGGAGCGGGGGTGGGGTGGCTGACAGTTGTACGCTCTTCACAGTGTGTTCTGGACGAATTCTGTGGTTTCCATGCCGCTGTCATAATGAGTAATTTTCTTAAAATTGTAACGTAACCGGCTTCAGTGAAAGATGTGATTCCCACCGGTGCCTAGACCTCCTCCAGTTTGTACATTCAGCTGATCCAAGCTGCTCGTTGGTCAGTTTCCCATAGTGCATTGCTTATATACAGCTGTCTGCCGGGTGTGAAACACAGCTGTTAAGGACAAGACCGATTACACCTGTTTCTCGAGATCCTGACACACCAGAGTTTGAACCTTGATCTTCAGCGTTTTGTTCAGGCTCTTAACTGAACATGGTCTCCGTTTGCCTGGGCTGTTCCGAAAGACCTGGGTCTCCTCTTCCCAAAACATCCTTCCTTCTCAATCTGTTCCTGCTAGAACAGGGCGAGACAGTCAGGAGCACCAGCCTCTCTGTGGCTTATCCTTTATAGCACTTGGGGAAATAGTGGGGAAAATAGAATTAGCTACAAGAAAAGTGAATACAATGTTCAGAGATTTTCTGTCACGGGCGTTTGATGTTTATTATTGGAGCTGAAAATGCAGAGTGTATCTTCTGTCTTCCTGTAAAATGGGTACAGCTTGAAATGAGTGATTAACCCGGAGTGAGACTGCAGACTTGGCGGCTGGTGTGGTTCTGTGCTCTCCTGAGGCTCAGGGCTAGTTAACAGAGTCCATTACTTGTGGAACAAAACAGCTCAATCTTGCCATCAGGCCCCTGCTCCCCGTTGTATTTGTCGTCTCTTCTGGTCCACTGCAGGCTGGGTAGAAACTCGGGGGACAAAACAAATCTTCCAAACTTGCGGTCCTGCATCAGTTTGTGCTCGGCGATCAATGACCATTGTACTCCAGTAGCCTTCCAGGTGTCGGGTATTAAATCTCTGATTGCACAGCCCATGGGTCAGCCTGCAGCCAGGCCCCAGACATCTGGAAACACCACAGGGCTCAGCTCCAGCCCTGTCTACACATGCGCAGACAGCAACAGCTTGTGTCGCTCTTCAAAAGATTGCCCTTAGTCTTGAGTTTAAGGATGGACAGCTATGTTACTCCAGTCTTAGTAAAACAGTATTCAGTGGATTTAACCAAGATAATGTTAGGAAATGCCCCTGATAAGAACTACCACTTTAAAACCCAAATACCCTGCTTCCAATATAAAAGAACAGATTCTAACAAGAGGCTTTTGGCCCCGTTATAGGCAATTTGCACACATACTGTATACTGTAAGGTTAAGCCCTATATACCTAGTTAATTCGACACCAAAATAAACCCAAATTGCAAAAATTATATTTCATTACAAAGCTTGAGTCAGTGCAGCGTGTTTATTCAGTTCCCCGAGGTACAAATCGGCAGCAGCAAGAACCTCAATATCTTTGTCACAGGTGTGTGTAGCAATTTGAACCAGCAGTGAGGCCCTTCACATCTGGGTGACACAGAGCGCCCAGTTCCTCCCCCCCCTTCTTTCCCCACTGCAGGTGAAACTCCACGTCCTAAATCCGCAGACACTGCTCCGACAGCAGGCTCAGATCTCCAGACGCTGTTGTCAGGGGACAGGCGGACGTGAGCCAGCAGAGCAGTGCAGCGTTTCACTGGTTATGAACTGACAGCTACGCTTCAACACGTTTAAGCAGCTGGAGAGCGGAAGGCTATGGTTATTCTCAGCTCTTTGACTCAAGCGGGAGATGTCTTACCTGCATGGTGAGGCAGGACTGGGCTTCTGGAGCAGCAGTGTGCAAGGACGTAGCGGCCAGACAGAGCTGCGTACAGGAAGACACAAACGGTGCTCCGCTGTCTAATGTGACTTCCTAGATAAAGCATTGAGTGTTGATTAATTTGGCTACTCCGAACCTACTTATATACCCCTCTCCCTTGCTCTGTTAACAGCGATTATGGACCCTGTTTACTTGAGGCCGAGAGAAAATAGAAAAAAAAAAGAAGTGTTATTGAATGGAGTGGCAAGCCATCGTAGCAAATTATAGGTAATTTAACATCTTGAGATTAGAATAATGGGAGTCCAATTTGGACAGGCTGCACATTGCCTTCCAAACAGGGCAATTACTGAAAAACGGGATTTTGGAAACTCTAGAGAGAGAATGAAAGAGAAAGTGGAGGGAGAAGGGGGAGAGGGAGGGAAGGAGGTACTGAAAGAGAGGAGGAGGAGGACGATAAAGGGAGCTGGTGCTCGCTGATGTTGACTTCAGGCTTTGTTGTTTTGTACCCGGGGTGTCTGATGAATTTTAATTGTGGGATACAAAAATTATGGATGGATGGTGTGTTATTAACCAGAAATCCCAGCTGCCTCGAACGCTAATTATTATGATTATTGGTATTAGCATGAGTGATCCGATAACTGTTCTAATTGTGCGCCACTTCCCGTTTCTGTGAGCGAATGTCTTATTGCAGCTCGCCGAAGTGCCGGGTAATCCAAAGATACAATGCCCTGATTAGCATAGTTGGGAGCTGGGAGGAGGGACCACATGCGCTCCCTGAATACCAGCCATGATTTGTCCCTGCTGTGACTCCTGACACCTAAACAGTAGAGACAGAGGAATGTGGTGACGGCTTCAGAGTGTGTTCCTGTTATAGATGCGCTGTGGTGTGCAACTCCCAGGCACTTCTTCAGTTACTCAACCCGTCACGAAGGGGCTGGCCCTCATGTCTGCGTTTCTCTCCCGAGAGATGTCGAACCAGGGGTCGTTTGGACACAGCTGTTGGGAATGCCACCCTTGTTCTGTTTTTCTGTATCTAAATGGCAGCATTGAGTGATCGTTCAGGAGGGAGCAAAATAATATCTCGTTCTCACTTTGAACAAGTGCCCAGCAGCTGCCGGCTGTCTCTTCTCTCATCAGCTTTAAATCCTGCTTGCTTCTTGACCCCCAGATAAACCACCCGCTCCCTCCCACCCTCTCCTCTACCCCGTAGCCCCCCTATGCAGTCAGACTGTTTTTTCTCCCCCCCCGACAAGTCATCGCCTCCACCCCCTCGTAGGGTCTGGAATCGCATTGCTTGACATTATCATGATAAAGGTCAGCAGCTCAAGTCGGCCCACGCAGGTCCAATCAGGAGTGTGCTAAGTGGGTTGTGCCGAGAGCAGTGTGAAGCTGTGGCCACACACCAGACTGGCCCATGATCTGTGGAGCAACGTGCCCCTGGGTGGTGATGAAGTGGTCTATAGTGGAGCAAACGGGGCCACACAGGAAGCAGAGTGGTAACCTGATGACGAAACACCTGAGCGTCCAGCAGCTTCTCTGGCCACGTGCACTTGGCACTGTCACTCCAGCAGACAGGGCCCCTGGGACAGAGGTGTTGGTTTAATCTCTACTAACTCCTTAACGTTTCGCCATGCAAACCTTCACGGTCACTTAAAACGGCATTCGCAGTATTTGTTTTAGCACTTGAACAGAGCAGTTAATCCCAATGCTTTAGAACAAAGGAGAGGAGGATGTTGTTTTTCCTGATGCATCAGAATCATGTCTTGATAGTGCGACGGAGGACACTGACCTTGGATTTACAGTGAACTCAACTTATTCGAAAAGTTTGTTTCGAATAAGCGGAGAGGCTGGGGGGTGGTGGAGGGAACAGTTCCTTCTGGCTGCCTGCGGTTTTTGTTTTCCCAGATTCCTCGAGATCCTTTCGGAAACCGAATTAATTAGCGGAGGGCTGAATCCGTGGGGCATCGTTTTTATGTGCCAATTAAAACCGCGGCATGAAAGAGAAATCAGGTTTTCATCTGGCAACGCGAAGTAACTCTGACTCCAGCAGAAGTGCTCATGGCGGATGGAAGCCGTGCTCTGGGCTGGGGAGCTGGTTCAGGGCCGTGCCAGGCTCCTCGGCACCTTTTTCTGTCTCGGCTTCTCAGTTGCCTTTCTTGACAGACCTGAACCAGCTTGGTTATACACTTTCAGTGCTTTAAGAGCCCAGCGCTCTGGCAACACTAAGGCACTGTCGGGCTGTGCTGTGGCTCATCTCTGTGATCCATCATGCTTTTGATACCCATGTCCTGATCAGTGATGTCATCTTACCAAACAGTTTTTTGGGGGACAGGTGGAGGGGCGGTTTTCACCCCAGGTGGCTGCCTTCTCTTTCCATGGCCACCTGTTGCTGGAGTTGGGGTGCAGAGTGGGAGAACTGTAATTACCCATGTAGAGGGTCAGTGCTTCAGTGTGGTGTCTTTAGGAGCTGTGCTTGTTACTGAAGTCTGTCTTCACCAGCAGACCAAACAATAAAGAACAGAATTAGCAAACCTCCAGTGATTGAATCTATAGCTCTTAATTGTTTAATAGCTCTTAACCAAGTATCATCAATCCCACCATTTTCTAATCACTTCAGGTAGTTCAGGGCATGGGAGAGCCTGTCCCAGCAAGCAACAGGCAGGGCGCACTCTGAGCGGGACACCAGCCCAATCTGATATAGGTTGTAAACCGGGGCACCTATTTGAGAATTATGTCTCTGAAAGAGGTCCCCCCAGGGATGAAGACATGTTGTGTATCTGCTGTACTGTCCGTTCGAGCTTTTTGGCTGCCAGACAGGCTCACGCCAGACTGAAATGTCAAAGAATCATCCTCATCCCTCATCGTTCCTGAGCTCAACAAAGGTCATAAAGGGTGTGAAATAACCGCAGAGAAAATGTAAGAAATATAGTTAGTAATAGCTTCCGTTTTATGTAGATTTTTTTACATGAATGACATTAGTGCAGTTGTTTGAGATTTTTGTTGTGTGCTACAAAAAAAGCGATTTTTGTTTTCTTTTGTTTCATCTAAAAACAACTAAGAAGTGTTTTACGTTGACTAAGTGGAATTTTGTCCGTTTTACGTTGTTGTAGTCCTTAAAGTGACAAGTTAGCAAACATTGCCAGGCTGTTTGAATCATTTGCTTTTCCTGACAGAAGGTATATAATTAGTTCACAGTATAAACATACATGGACATGTCTTTACAATCTTGACCGTGGTCACTAGAAACGTCCAGCTTCTAAGAAGGAGAGGCTCATGGTAACGAGTCTGCAATGTAGTTGTCCTTCTCTGTGTACATGCTTTTGATTGCAATGTTTAAATCATTTTCTCGGACCGTTGCAGGGAAAGTACGTCCGTGTTTGTGAATGAGCGAGCATTTGTGGAAATTTTTTTTTGTGGTCAGCTCGTAATTCTCAAGCGCACACACACACACATGTTGGCGAGGAAGCAGAATTTTCCAGTGGAGGTGTGTGTGTGTGTGTGTAAAATCTGGTCATGCCCTTTGCCCTCACACACAGGAGATGATCTGGGGAGAGGGAGCTCAGCCTGTAAAACGCCTTATTTCCCTCGCGTCCGTGAGCAAGTGACCTGACTGGTTTTGCTGGTAATCTGAAAGGGGTTTGGGGCGGAGCAGGAAATGGCAGCCCAGATCTCTGGGATCATGGTGGGGTTCGCTTCTTGAAGAACCTCCCTTTCAGGCGGAGCTCTCTTGCTCTCTGAGCTGAGCCGGGTTCGGGAGCGTGATGTCATTGGCCGGCGGTTCTCGGGGCCCAGCTGTGGGCCCTCCTGCTGCTCCCTGTCACCCCAGCCCGCGGGAGCCCACTGTGGACCTCTGGCCCAGGGACGAGTCCAGTTGGCATCCTTGTGTTTTCTCACCGGTGCAGTTTCAGGGTGGGAGCTGGAAGGGTGGGCTGGAATGAAAATAGAGCTGACGTGTTTTTCCAGCACTTCACGGGGGTGTGGACTGCACATCCGAGCTCCCCCTCTCGTCATGAACCCTGAATCCTTCATCTGTGCCGTGAGCCCCAGAGGTGGTGAAGGGCCTCCTGGCACTGGTGACTTTGCACCCCCTTTAACACAGTCCTGGCCCGCTTGGGATCACATCGCGTTGATTTAAAAAACATTTCAAGGCAGTATAGTCGGGAAGCCGGATTTTCGGCTGTGGAGACTGTGTTGGACTTTTCCGTAATGATTTTATATAGAACAGAGCTGCTATCCCATGACTCTTTGACCGGTTTTGGCTTTCCTAATTTTCTGGTGGGTACAAACAGCCCTTTGCTTTTCTCAAGTGAGAAAAGAGCATCTTTTACTAACATTTTTTTTAAAAAAGTAAGTAATAGTGTTTTTATTTTGGGTCTATAGCTGGTCTATCTAGATTGGTTTCGTTTATACTTGCTGGCGAAATTTGTGATAGAATATGGCGCCTCTAGAGGCCAAAAGCAGACGCTGCAGTTTGAGTGGCCTGCTTGCGAGTTCCGTTTGATAGACGAGATAGCTGTCTGTCTGTTGTAGTCTGTGTTTAACTTGACTGTTCAGCGTGATTGGATGGCCAGCACAGTTCCCTGTTATTGGCGTGTCCCTTATTTCCTGGAAAAGGAAATTCAGGCGTGGGCTTGCAAACCTATTCCTGTGTGTATGTAAGCACACCGAAAAATACTCCCAGGTGGACTTAAAGCACCCATCGTAAATGCTGTTATCACGGTCAATAATCATACAATTTCTCAGTCGTTTAAGCTGATAAGTGGGGGTTGTAAAATCAGCCTGTCATGTCATCAGAGTTCTGCTGGAAAACGCACTGAAATTGCTGGGTTTCCTTACGGCCGTTTTGGGAAAACAGCATCTGAGAAAATTTACATTTACAGCCTTAACAATAGTCTCAACTTGCAGACACTAGCCCCTGGTAGTTGTGCTTTCTTGTTTTGTAGCTGAATTAAATGTTGGGCAAACACAAAGTACCGAGTATGTCTGCCTTCCATCGGTGTGAACTCATTCAAGGCGTGCATTGTTTTCTGACAAATCACGCGGGAGGTTTACACGGTATTCCCACACTCGACTCTCCTCTGCTTACCCAAGGGAAAAG